AAATATTTAAGTGGCAAAACTCTTTCCAACATTTGATGATAAGAAATGTTTCTTGAGCACCAAATCAGCATATTAATATGATTTCTGAAGGATCATGTGACTCTGAGTACTGCAGTAATGGCTGCTGAAAATTCAGCTTTACCATCACAGACATAAATTATATTTTACAATATATTAAAATAGAATTTACTTTAAATTGTAATAATTTCACAATATTACTGTTTTACTATATTTTTATCGAATAAATGCAGCCTTGGTGAGCACAAGAGACTTCTTTTGAAAATAGAACATCTTTCTGACACAAAGGATTTTATACATTTGCAGTGCTCTAGACAGTAGTGCATAGTAGTGCATGCTACACATGTACTGTACATTCCATTCCATACCTCATATTACATACTAAAGATTGAAGTATAATACTGTGTATGTATAAAACAGTATGTTCTATTCTATGTATTTATACCATACAAAAGCTGTCATTGGGGCAGTACTTTTATAAAAAAGGTACACCTTTGTACCTTATTTATCTCTAAAGAGTGCATATTAGTAGTACCTAAAGGTGCATATTGTTACCTAAAGTGTGCATATTAGCACCTAAGTGGTACATTTTAGTACCTTTTGAAAGGGTACCAGCCCAGTGATACATAATGCAGTTTAACTTCGAGCTTTGCATATTCATCACATTTCTCAGGGCACAGGGTACTTGCTGCAACATTCAGAGAAACAAAACTTTTTAGAGCATTGAACATGGTAGTTCACACTGCTTAGTGTACTTTACTGTGTGGTAGTAGTTTCTAGTTATTGCATACTAGATTTGTAGTGCAATAGTGTAAAAAAAGCCATGTTCAGTTCATGTTCTTTATATTAAAAGGGCTGTACAGTGGTCAGATTGATCATTTATTTTCGTTGAGTAGGCGTGGTTTATTCAGAGATTGCGCGAGAGCATCGGAAGTGAGATGGCTGAAGTTCAGTCGTGACGGAGAGAATCAGGAGGTCCCGCTGTCGCATATGAAAGTCGGGAATTAATCCGAAATAAGATGTCGTCCTGAAGCAATTTCTATGGCGCCTATCCTGAACATGAGAAATACAGTGCTCGCAAAGACAAGCGAACTGGCTTTGTGCCCCAAAGCTGACTACTGTTCTTCATGGCGGAGAGCAGAAAGTAGGAGCAGTAGAGAATCCGAAGGCTGGACAAGCAGACTCAGACAGACCACAGGAGAAGCCTAAGAAGTATTGTCCGTTCTGTGACACAGTTCAGCACTACATGAATCAGTGCTCCAACTTCAAACTCTTAATTAACTAAGGAGCAGATTGAAAGTTGGATTAGGACAGGCAACAGATGTTGGCGCTGTGGACGAGGGCATTCATCATCCAAATGCACATTGAAGGCAAAGTGCAAAAGATGTGAAAGAAGGCATCTTGAGGTTCTCCATGATGTTAATGCCAGCACACATATACAGAGTAGAGGCAACATTAAGGTGTCAGAGAAACCCACAAGCACAGTTAGTCCCGCCTCTCTAACCTTATATTTGGATCGGCCCACGAGTAGCAAGCAAGTGCTGCTTAAGTTAAGTCGAGTCATTATTCAGAGTGGTGACAAGTCACTGGAAACCTATGCTGTGCTAGACAACGGATCTGAGCGAACTATCTTGCTGAATGAAGCCGCTCAACGTCTGGGCCTTCAAGGTGAAATGGAGGATCTCGCTCTTCGTACAGTAAGACAAGAGGTGCATACCATTCATGGAAGATCTGTATCCTTCTCCATCGCTCCGGTTACGTACCCTGACAGATCGTACCAGATTAAGGGTGCATTCACTGCTAAAGAGTTAAATCTGGTTCAGCATACTTATCCTGTCTCTGATTTGCAACGAAGATACCGCCATCTTCAAGATTTGCCTTTGCATGATGTCAACAGAGCACAGCCCTTGGTGCTTGTTGGATCAGACTATCCGCACTTAATCACGCCTGTGGAGCCAGTCAGATTGGGGCCCCCTGGAGGACCAGCAGCGGTTCACACAAAGCTTGGATGGACATTACAAGGTCCATCGAGGCTTCTTAAGCCTTACTTACAGCCTCGAGAATGCCTCTTCATTTCTTGTGTCTCTCCTGAGGCTGAGCTGTTTGGACAGGTTAAAAAGCTTTGGCAACTGGATACTCTTCCTTTTCGATCTGAGAAGGTAGTCAGTCGATCTCGACAAGATGCAGAGGCGATTCGCATCCTAGAGGAGAAGACTAGATGAAGATCCTAAGAAGGCCTCATTGTTTCTCCCTGCATAATTGCAAGATTGTGTATCCTTGAGGTCTAAATCCGTTGTAACTATTTGTTTTCAGTTATTATTTGTGTAGCCCTACGCTCCTTATTTGGATGGTTTATTTGCACTTATGTGATCTCTTTAAATCATGAGTATGTGAGTATATGGAGTTGATCTCTTGATACTCAGCCTCTAAAAGAGTAAATTGATAAAACTGAGATACAACTGCCTGTTTCATTACTCTCTTGGTCACTGGACATCACTTGTAGTAACTGACACTCTAAGGTGATTTAGTACCGTAACAGCAACCAACGCATTCATACAGTCTCTAATACAAATAGTAAATGTATAGTGCATATTAGATTTATAGTTCATAGTACACCTGTATTGCATACAGTTCTAGATGTAGAAAATATTAAATATTATTGTAAGTGTTCCCAGCATTCTCCAAGCAACATTTTGTTAATGAAATTAATATTTATAAGTTACTAGTATTAGTTAGTAGTAGTATATTTTAGTATTAGTATAACTTTAGTAGTACATTAGTTAGTAGCATACAATATTGCTGCAATGCAGTTAGCCTCTTGGCAACCTATATTTTTGAAGTTTTAAAGCTTCCTTAATATATGCAATGTGATAAAGCACCATTAATCAGCGATTTCACAGCTAGAAAAGAGGCGTTTGTGAATGTGGCTTTGTGACAAGCACTGCTGGCAGAGACAGGAGCTGTCTTGGACCCAGTTTACACAGGTTAATGTCACATGATGCTTTATTCCCTGCTGAGACTCGACTGAGAGTGCGGAAACAGACTGTTGCCTCTCTGTCTCCATTTTTCACAATTTCATTCTAAGATTCTTGTATTGATCAAAATAAACTTCATTACTTCACTGTGTGAGAAGAGATTAAATGAGAGCTTTTCATCTTTTCCATCTGCTTTTATCAAGTTATTTTGTCATTATGGTTTTCTGATTAATACCTCTACCCTTACCTGTGGTCATAGAAGTCATTGTAGATATTAGACAAGTTTTCCTTTTTGAAAAAAAGAAGTGTGCTTCTTTTAATTGTATTAAATTTGTAGTGCATTTCAAATCTTAAATGTATATTTAAAAGATTTACTTGCAGATAACATATTAATAAAATAAAGGCCACTTAAGTGTTCTTAAAGAGAGAATACTCTCATGACATTTCTTAATGCATTTTAGTACACTTTGTGATCATGTCAAAAGAAAAGTTTTACTTTAAAGTACATTTTAAGTCATTGTGTTGTAATAATCATTTGTCATGTTTTAAAGCAGTGCCCTTATTTTGATGTGTAGACTAACCTACTAAAGTACAAGTACTTGATTATAACTTTAACTGCAGTGTTATTCATTAATAAATGTAAAGTTAATATATTTTAAATGTACCTAAACTGCAGCTTTTTCAATACATATGAGTAATTACAAAATATTTATTATAATATATTTAATAAATTTAAACACATAACATACAAGTTTCAATAGAAATGTCATTAAAATATATATTTTAGTTTACAATAAATCCTTGTTGGTATATACAGCAGTACACATAAAAGACAATAAAATTATGAAATCACAAATAAAGTTACCGAATCTTACCGAAATTGCATTTAATACATTTTTAACCTATAATACATTTTCTGTTATTTGCAATTACATGAAGTTTCCGAAAACATTATGTTCAGCTTGCACTGCAGTATAATAGTATATTATTAGTAGTATATTTTCAGTATATTATTTCCGTGATAAGTACTCATGTATTCATATACTGTATGAGTATTCAAAAATAGCTAAAGTGTACTTCTTTTTCACAAATATTACTATCCCTAATAATTCTCTTTTAACAGCTGCTTGAAACTCATACTGGGTGCCATTTTTGTTACTGGTTGTATTATATTGGTTTACATTGTGTAACTTTTGTACAGATCATATTTTGTTTGTTTGTGCTATTTTTGTATTTGTAGTCTATCAGCTTATCTAACAGCCTGATAAACTGATAAAGTCTTTTGTTAGAATCGTTCAGATTGCCACATGCAAAATGCCACATTTAGAATGTTTTTGTGTTCATTTTTTTATGCCACTTTTAATGTGCCACTGACACATTAGAAAACTGCTCAGATTTTCCATCCTTGCTTTACTCGAAAGGGATTTTTCTATGAGGGCTACAAATCTGCACTGCAGAGGCTCACCATGCGAACATGGTTTAACCCATTTTGATGGCTGCGCCATATTGCATTATAAATTATTAACAGCCAAGGCAGCCCTGCATTATGTCTGCTAAATTATGTTTGCTCAATTATGCGTACTGCACGATTGTCCTCTGGTTTTATAGGTTTTTCGCTGTGTGTGTGCGTTCGCGAGCGTCTCCGTCTCATATAGGTGTGGTTAACATAAAACATCCAGCACTGTGAGGTAACACTTCTCCTCCTGCTTGGTCAGAGAGTCTCTACAGACTCATTGCAATGATCCAATTCATGTAATGTTGCTGAATTGCATGTTTGTCAGTTATTCCCTTATCTCATCCCAAGGGATGAAAGCACTGCCCCCTCCCATCTCGCCATGCTTTGAGTTACTATGGTAACAGTGGAGACCTGCCTTTGCTCCTCTCTCCCCAAGTTCTTTAGAATCATTCCTTGCCAAAGTTCCCCCAAACAGTTTTTTTTTTTGTGGCAAAGAAGTTGCAGCAGAATTCAGTCTCACTCTCTTTGTCTTTTCTATCTCCAGGTTTTTTATCAGCAATGACCAAAACTGACACAAAGTAAGACTATACACACACGGAGGCATCAACACAAGCTTCTCCATTGTGGTCGACCTGTGAGAGCAGCAGAGAAACGGAGAGTAAACGACTACAGGAAGGAGAAAAGGAGTGTGCGAGGACAGTCGATGGATGCTGCCCGGATTGAAGGGACAGCACATTCTCATCTGACGAGGAAAAGAAAGATTTCAAAATTGAGTCGAAGGACAGAAACTCGCCGTCAGGTAAGCTCGTCCAATCAGGTAACAGTATTAAATTATCTTTAGGCTGATGGCAAAAGAGGGAAGGAGGTCAGGCATTTCTCGTCTCTCCATCTCTATACTATCAGTATAAAACAAATGAGAGGAAAGATAGATGGGCAGGCAGTGATGTTTCCACATATCTCTCTCTCCCTTTATTTGCTTAATTTTTGCTTCTCTCACTGTCTCCCATAGGCATGGTGTGTGAGAAGGGCATTCAGATCCTTCTCACCATCGTGGGTGCTTTCGCATCCTTCGGCCTGATGACGGTGGCTATCGGCACGGATTATTGGCTGTACTCGCGAGCGCTCATCTGCAACAGCACCGCCAACAACTCACAAGAGGATCCCCATAATAAGGAGAAGAAGGACCCCGGGGCCTTGACGCACTCTGGCCTGTGGAGGATCTGTTGTCTTGAGGGTCGGCCACCATCTTGGCTCTTGGTTACTTTGTGGGGGTGGCGTCTATGTGCAGTTATTTGAAAAAAAAAAAAAGGAGAGTTAAGATTTGCCTTCATCAGGGCAGGGCAGCCCAGGATGAGAGTGTTTATACTAAAAATATACTAAGCCAGAAAATACAGAAAATAGTACATCAAATGGGATATGGGACATAATATAGTAATTTAATAATCTCATCATTTCCGTACGCACACACACATATATATATGAATATATAAGAATATATATGAATAAATGTGTTTTAATGATGGAAATGATTAGATTAATCAATTACATTATTCTGTTGACAGCCCTAGTTTTTAACAGTAAGAAATGAAACACATATTTGCCAATAATTGTGTGTATGGAAAACAAAAACAAAAAAAAATATATATATATGTATATGTATATATGTATAAATCTCTTCAATACTCACCAAGGCTGCATTCATTTGATCAAAAATACAATAAAAACAGCAATATTGTGAAAAAAAAATTACAGTTTAAAATAACTTGTTTCAAATTGTAAAATATTTTAAAATGTAATTTATTCCTGTGATGGCAAAGCTGAATCTTTAGCAGGCATTAATCCAGTCTTCATGTGATCCTTCAGAAATCATTCTAACATGCTGATTTGGTGCTCAAAAATATCACACTATTCTCAACATTTAAATCTTAGGAAGGAGGTCCCATGAGAGGCATATTCTTATTTTAAAAGTATAAAAAACCCTTAGATTATTTTACAGGCATGACAATCTATCCAATTGCAAAACTATTCTAATAATAAAATTTTTAATGTTTACTTTATTCATCAAATTAATAGGATCTCAATAGCTTTACATATGGCATATCATTCATGTATTTTCATATTCAAGTACATTTTAATTATTCTGAAAATGGCTAATATGCCTGTATAAAGAATGAAACATTTTCAAAAGTAGTTAAATTCTTTATTTAAATAGTATTTAAGGATAATTAACACACACAGTATCATAAAACATATACACGTCTTGAACCCTGATATGGCCATTTACTGCTAAAGAGATCTGAGTGTAGGAGCGAAGCCCAAAAAGCCTGTGAAGGCGTAATTAAAAGGCTGGGCTGATTGCATTGAGAGGTCAACACAGAGGGACAGCAGTCGCGGTCTTAGGGGCCGTTCTAGCACCTCGTATTCTCACTCATCCCTGTGTAATGCGCTCTCCTCTCCACCTGCAGCCAGCCATTGTGCTCTGCTAATTTAGCCTTATGGCTAAGCTCTCTGATAACAAAGCATTCAATTAAAGATAAGCCTGGATTCCCAATCATCACAGCGACGCGGCTTCTCTCTCAGTCGTCTCTCTTTGTTTCCTTCTCATTAAAGCCTCGCTTTCCCTTCTTTCTTTGCCCCTTTGGTCGCTGTAGTGTTACAGCACTCTTGGCATAGTTTAGAGGTCAAGACATCCTTACTTTCCCCAGGGATTAGAGCCAAGATGGATGCTTAGTAGAAACACAATTAGGAGCAGGTGAAGTGGAAAGCGGGCATTTTGGATCTGCATAATGAATGTCACAGCTAAACCGGCCCAAACAGCAAATACTGTTGGCTGTGTGATGATAGGTGCACTGATTGTCACATCATCCGAACTCGATTCTAGACACGCGCACACACACACACACACACACACACACACACACACACACACGCACGCACGCGCGCTGGGCCTCGTCCTGCCCTTTATCTACGCTCCCCTGCTGCTGTTGCAATCAATAGCAGAGGCTAATGCTACTCTTAAAGCTAATGAGTTGCTTTCATGTTTATATATATAAAAGAAAGCAAGGTCACCATACCTGCTGAAAAGTCCAGTTTAGACCAGCAAGAGTGGCTTGGTGCTGGTCTTGACCATAGAAATTAGATGCCTCATTAGCCACGGTGTCTATGGAACGACCAAGGCCTGTCTGTGAACACTCCAGAACAATAGAATTCAGCAGATGATTTTGAGAAACTAACACAATTCAACAAGACAAAGGCATTAGCTAACTTAACATCAAAAAGTTACCATAGTTTAAACATGTAAAATTGAGTTAATACATATAAAAACAAACCAACACATTCTCACCTGAGAATGTCTCATTTTAATGAAAAGATGATTATTGATTGATATGCCACTTAAACTGAAGCGAATACAGTGATCTGACACGTCACATTAAAGAGCGTGAAAAACACATTATTGTAAGACATATTGTTTGTATTTCGCTATAAAACTGACAGAAAGCTGAGACTTTGTTTTATATTAAAATTACCAAAAGCACAACGCTTATTAATATTATTGGGTGGCTGGCGCTCTACAATAATGGATGCATCCGAAGACGTGAAATATTATTTGCAAGCATAGGCCTACTGTCCCTGCGAGTATATGACTGACACATGGTATGATTTCTGCTAATAATCCCAGATATATTCAAATCAGTTGCCAGGCCACCGGAATTTCTTCCGGTGCTCCCAATCCGGGCCATTTGCGTGAACAATATAGGCAAAATACTCTCAAAAAAAATTATAACTCGTAAATGCTATGAATTAATTCTCGTAATTTTGACTTTATTCTCAAAATTTTGACTTTATTCTGAAAATATTTTGACTTTATTCTGAAAATATTTTGACTTTATTCTTAAAATATTTTTACTTTAATCTCGTACTCTTAGAATTTTTTTTAACATGGCACTAAAATGCCATCGTAAAAAGTAAGTGACGTGCGCTGATTTTTTACACAGGGTTGAACATTTTTCAACTGTCCGTTACCAGAAAAAAAAAAGGTTAAAAAAAAAAAAAAAAACATGCAGCGGCTATAACATTTGAAATGTGAAAAAATTAAGAGTGCCATAAAATATTTTTATTGCACTTTTACTGTAAAATTATTTTTACAATTCTATTAATAGTACAATCATTTAAAAATAAACAATAAATACAAATATTTTAATAATAATAATTGTTATATTGAATGGCAACAATGTGAATGTTGCTAGAGCGAGTTTTCCCTATATCCTCATGATAAAATCCAAATTTTTAAAGCTGATATATAAAAAAAAAAAAATATATATATTCTTTTCTTCAAAACCGATTACCTTGTTCAAAGCCAAGTAGTACAAAAGCATGTGAACTGACATTTACACAATTGTGGTACTTAAGATATTTTCCTGAAGTTGGCAGGTCTGATGACATGCACTTGATGGCAGGAACTATTGTTTAGACACAAGACCATTGCTGAAAGAACCGAAATGGTGATGCCAGATTCTCCTCAATGACACCTTTCCCTTTTGTGCCCTCGTCTCTTACAGATTAATCTCCATGAGAGGAGGAATATAAAAAGACAAAAACAGCTGTGAAAAGAATCCCCCCCACACCTGTCCACCTGTATTTCCCTTCGTCTGTCTCATCAATCCATCACATTCCCACTCCATCAGTCAACAGCAGTCATGATGTCATCATAGTGCGTCAGTCTGTCTGTCTGCACTAGAGCGGGTAGCTATTCACTCCCCGACTGACTCCAGGGCTATCTGATTTCTATGGTGCATGTGTGTGTGTGTTTCCAGTTCCACATCTTAACAACCGAACATAATGAATTAAGAGAATTAGATCCGTATCAGGCGCTACAATCCAAAAATGACTTCCCTATCTAATTTAAAGAGATTGGATTGTGGATTAGACCATTAATTGGTATTTCAGCGGTATTCCTAAATGAGATTTAAGGGTGTGTGTGTGTCTGTCTGTGTCTATCTATCTGTCTATCTGTCTGTCTGTCTGTCTATCTATGTATCTATCTAACTGTCTGTCTGTCTGTCTGTCTGTGTCTATCTGTCTGTCTGTCTGTCTCACATTAATGCTTGTTTCATTATGAAAAAAAAACATTTTTGTATGTTTATTTCTGAGTAAGTTATAATGTACCTGTTGTAGCAAAAACTACATAAAATACACGTTACTATAGTGTCATTTTAGTAGGAGAAAATGTAATTAAGTTACAGTTTTTCTCAGTCGCTTTGGTGCATTTCTCAAATCAGAAATGGAATTCTCAAGACTACTTGTACAACCTCCACATCATCTAGTCATTTGTACACATCATAAAACCAGTTTCTCATTCTTTTGAACAAGTTGCGATTGCTTTGGTACATTCATGCGATTGATTGTACATTTATCTGCGGTTTCCTACATTATCAGTTGCTAATGTCCTGTTGCTCAAAATCTATTATATAGTTTTCTGTGCAATAGTCTTACCCCTCAAAACATCTAGTCTTTACTTCATCTTATAAGTCATTAAATACAAAATGGTTCATCTAGTTGTCATAAACTGTCAAGCACATTTTTACACATTATTATTAGACTTTTTGCAAATTTGGCATGCATTGTGCAAGTGAATCTTGACTTTCACTAATGAAGAGACTGTAGATCAACCAATGATAAACCATTTATCTGAAATAGCTCAAAGGTTAATCTCATGAATCTTCAGTTGGAAAGCATATACTGTACAGACAGAGGACAACACAAGAGTTAGAAATTCTGACAATGGACTTATTTGTTATTTTCATCTTTGTGCCCATATTTCTTTGTCCTTTTCTATATCACAATGACATTGGAAAGGGGTTTATTTTTGTTTTTCTTGGTCAGACCACTAGTAAACGTGTAACTGGGAATTCTATCCAGTCTCTTTCAATCAATATCCCACATACAGTAATGTGTTAATTTGTACTTTTGAAATGGATATATGGCATACTGGTCAATACAGTAACTGTCATCCAAAATGTTGCCATAGTTTACATCAGGTAATACTAACAAAGTGCACTGTTATATTGACAACATGACTAAGCATTTTGACTATCTTGTATGTGAACAATGACACAAGGACTTTTCATTCTGATGGCACTGATATGTTCATTGACATAAATACTTACTTTTGAGAGATGAACTAAAGATTTTGAGTAAGTTACAGGCTTTTGCAGGTAATCCACTGTGTGGTGCTGTTTGTACGAATTATTTTGAGAAATGCACATACTTCTTTGCAAATATTAAGGATGATTTGAGAAATGCTCCAAAGCGACTGAGAAAAACTGTAAATAGAAAGTTAAAATGAACAACATTTATTTGAAATAGAAATACATATTTTTTATCATTATAAATCTATTTACTCACTTTTAATCAATTTAATGTTCTTGCTGAATCCAAGTATTAAATTTCTTTTAAAAAGTATTATGTTTGTACGAATTGTTTTGAGAAATGCACATACTTCTTTGCAACTATTAAGGATGATTCGAGAAATGCACCAAAGCGAATGAGAAAAACAGTAATTACTACCCATATAAGACACTTGTTTTTTAGTTTTTTTTGGGAGGGGGGGGTAAGAAATAAAAATTTTTATTCAGCAAGGATACATTAAATTGGTCAAAATTGACAGTGAAGACATTTATAATGTTACAAATCATTTCTGTTTCAAATGAATGCGGTTATTTTCTGTTCACCAAACACTGAACAGAATGATTTCAACAAAAAATAGCACAACTGTTTTCAACATTGATAATAAAAAATAATATTTCTTAAGCAGCGAATAAGCAGATTAGAATGATTTCTGAAGGATTGTATGACACTGAAGACTGGAGTAATGGCTGCTGAACATTAAGCTTTACATCACGGGAATACATTAGAATACATTTGAAAATATATTAGAATAGAAAGCAATTATTTTAAATTGTAATACTATATTTCACAATATTACTGTTTTTACTGTATTTATGACCAAATATATACAGTCTTGGTGAGCATATGAGACTTCCTTCAAAAACATTTAAAAATCCTACTGACCCCAAACTTTTGATTGGTAGTGAGAGCAACGTCACTTATTTATGCCAGAAAGTGCAGTGAGAGCTTGTACATCAGGGTGTGATCATGTAGACTACATCTGCAGGAAAGTGTGAGGGGGTTTTATGGAGGTACAGTGATGCAGTTCATTCTCAGTTAAGCTCAGAATTAACATATGTGCAGTACGTGCGGGTTGTTGCGAGGATGTCTTACCTCTGATGTTTCTGTCTTTATGCTTGTAGGGGTGAAGCGTGGTGTGTGCTCCCAGATCAACCACTTCCCAGAGGATGCTGACTTTGATCATGATGGAGCAGAATACGTCCTGCGTAAGAGGCTGCTCTTTATTACAACAATAGAGTTTTATCATGACAAAGCATTTCTGCAGCGTGAATGGAATGCAGCTACAGCAAATGTCTTTGCCTTGTTAAAGAAACAGTTCACCCCAAAATAAAACATTGCCACTATTTACTCATTCTTGTTTAGTCTCAAATCCATATGCTTTTTTCACATTTTTTTTAAATATGCATTTGTTTTAAATGCGGTTTTCGAACACCATGGGAATGATTATATAAATAATGACAGAATTTTTTTTTCTTTTAAATACCTTTGCTTTGATCTGACACATAGGAAAAGCTTTTAAGTAACATATTGCAGATTCACAATAATTCTACAAATTCTATGATTCATATCCCCTGAAATGCTCCAAGACATTTCTGTGCTACAGCGTCCTGTGTGCATGTCACACGCATAAATGCATGCATGCACACAGGTTGGCATTTTGGTTGGTATTTAGATAGCATTTCCTTGCACTGTCCCAGCTTGACTGGTCCCAGATGGGATGCCGAACTGCCAGGGGAACATTTTTCCTCTGGGGCTGTTTCATATACAGTGCACAACAGCATAATTTAATTACCCAGGTGCCTCATTTTAGCTTAATATTTATACCTAAAAATGTGTGGAGATATGAATGTAGTGTTAAAGACCTGAACAGAATTGATTCGCCTGCACTCTTCATGTCTCACGCTTATAATGCTCTCCGTCTCTCACCCTCTCCCATCTGTCTCTCTACTCCACTATTCTCTCTTTCC